GTCATTGGCCTCAAAACGGCCAAGTCAAAGTCAATCTGCGGTGATGTTATTTTTGTCCGAAGATGCTCATGGAACGTCAGTGGAATACTTGTGGAAAAATAGTGGAATACTTGAGATATGAATGGAATGTGCATGAGGATATTCATGTGATATAGAACCAACAGGAGGATCAGATAGGATCACATAACATGGAGAACATGATTACCATGGAGAATGATGATCCATTTTCTATAATAAAAAATAAGACATGAGAATAATGGTCTTATTCACTTAATATCCGAAGCATCATCAAATGGTAGTCTATTTTCAGATGGCTGATGGTTTAAACAATGGTCTTCTATGGTCTTGTCAAATTGGCTTTGTGGTTTGGATTTCAGGAAGCCCCAAATGACAAATCGCAACTTTGTGGATTTCGCAGGATTCAAAGGCACCACTTGTGCTCATTGGTTGATATGAGAAAATGACAAAAAACAAATGCCAACTTCAAAGCACGATTTTCTAGGGATCTTTGGGTTTAACGCCATATCCTTACCTTTCACTGATTTAAACATTTCGTGCTCATGACATGTATGTATACATGTGTAATACGCATCTATATATGTATATATATATACAATATAACTATATAGTGATGCATACATAGATAGAGATGGGTACGCGCAAATGAACCTATTGCTACCTATCGCTCAAGTACCTTGCCCCTCGACACAAGTTGGGCAATAGTAGCAAGTTCTTGGAGAACAACAAGGATAAGTTTGGTGGTCATTGGGCTAAACATTGGGCACCCTGGTGCAGAATGTCCACCGGTTGGACCTGGACCATGGATCCCGAAATATCAACCTGTCAACTAGGAGACATCAAAACAATATCCCGAATTAATCATTAATATTTATATATATATCCCATCTAATATCCCAAAAATGATAGATCCACAATCAAATCAAAAAAGCTTTACATATCCCACAATATCATTGTCGCTGGGAAGGGACATCAAAACTCACCTTAGCAACAGCCAGCCTTCTTTCCCACAGCCATGTTCCATTCATGTCCCATGAGATATCCCATAGCCCATATCTCAAATTATGTGTGCAAATAGTCACCATTTTTTGATGGAACAGTATCTGGTTGGTGGTTTCAACCAACCCCTCTGAAAAATATGAAAGTCAGTTGGGATTGTTATCCCCAATATATGCAAAAATAAAAAATGTTTTCAAACCACCAACCAGGATGGAACAGTATGGAAAAATTATCAAATTGAATCTCAAAAAACAGTACGGAAAAACACTTTGAACACAAAATTCCATCTGGGGAATTCAAAAAGCACAGCTTTTTCGGCTTCGATCTTCACTAATCTTCACCACGCCTCGCCAACCGGAAGCCCTTCGCTTCTGGCACTCTGGTCCTGCGACTGACCCTGCGACAACTGATGCAGGGTTCTCGCTGGGTCAGAAGCCAGTTAAAACTGGGAGAACCACAGATATCCCACAAAATGTGGACAGAAAAACCAGGGTCATGAACTCATTACGAAAAGTGGAACATTTCCTTCCAACGGGAACATCATTTCTGATAGTGTGAATTCAACATGTTGGGTAGACAGTGCCACCACAGCGAAACGCACATTTTTGAATAAACAAAAACTACATCTTAACGAACTAAATGATGAACATCTTGGAGTTAATCAAGACGGCCATCAGATTCGGGCAAACATGGGCAACCCCCCCGTCTACCCAACATGTTGCTTGGATAAAACATGATAAATTCCTGAAATGATGGAAGAAAACACAATCCAGTTGGAGACTATTGGGTAAACCACATTTCATGGCGGATAATTTTTCCGGACCCTCGGATCAAGCAAATTGATGCTTGTCTCCCCAATTATGGTGTCGTAGCTTTTCACAGCAAAATAAAGTGGCAATTGACCCAACGCACTATTAATAAAATTGGGATATGATTCGACCTAGAACAAGAAGTTCCGGTTACCAGAAAACACTAAAATCCACAAGAAATGTGAAATGATAGAACCACAGAAAACATACAAAATCATACAAATGGTAGAGAGGGTCAAACCCATATTACCCTCTGGTAAACGTGTAATTACATAACTATGGAAAATCACTATTTTCAACGGGTACTATAAATGGCCATGTTCAATAGCAAGCTGTTAAATTACCAGAGGGTCAGACCCATGTTATAATCATCAATTAATCATCAATTAATCATCCATAATTAATCATCATATAATCATCATATAATCATCATATAATCATCATATAATCATCATATAATCATCATGTAATCATCATAAGCCATTGTTTTTTCTCCCATTCACCCACTGCATTTTTCAGATTCCCACGTGGAATCGCCGACCGCCGCAGGACTTTTGACGAGGCAGAAATGCAGAAATCAGCGTTGGTGACCTCGAGAGATCTTTCTTCAGGATCTCAAGCTCTGGAGTAACCAGTTAATTTCATTGGTTAATAATTGGTATTGATTTATTGATTAATATGATTGTTATGATTGGGTTATACCAATAATTAATTTCATTGGTTAATAACTCAACGGATTGGTTTTCTTGGGAACATCTTAACCGGAAACCATGGTTTTTACCAACAAATATAGGGTTTTCCGGTTCCAATTTTCCCATCATCCAATTCCATGAATAACCCACTGATTGATATATGATTGGTTATTGATTTATGGTTATTATATTACTGTGATGGACCAGCACTTAGAATATGAATTTTAAGAATTTTACGTTTTAAAATATTCTGTTGCTATATGATTGATTATAATAACCCACTGATTTCATATTAACCAATAACCAATCATCAGTGGCTTATTAACCCATCAATAATATAGCAAAATGCTCTTGGATCGATATAATGTAAACATGTATGTTATAATATATGTACATATATATATATATATATATGATTCTATAATATTCTATATATGTAATGTGCAATAGATTTCCTCATAGATTCAAGATGATTCAAGAATGTCAATTTCATCGGCCATCTCGAAACAAATTATGCTACTTCCCAAGCTGAAAATGGGCGTTTCTTTTCGCATGCTTCCTAGATGAGGTCGTTGCAAGGTCCCTATAATTCTTCCAGAAACATCTCATTGATGATCTCGAGAATAATTTACCGGTGAGTTTCTTTGCAGGCCGGAAGAACTATCCAGGTGTTTTTTTTTCGGGTCAACAAAGTAGATAAAAAAGTAAATCGCAGTACAACTGTGCAATACCGAATGTAGAAAAAACATGAAAAAACTGCTACAGTTGCCTGTCTACTGTATCCATTTTGGGCACCAAAAACACGGTAGACGCACAAAACATTCAAACATGTCGGTGAAGTGGGGCAGATAAACATACGGTGGACCTCATTCGATGGCATGGTCTTGAATATGACTAGTGATCTCTTCAGCAACGACAATGCTCAATTTATCCATGGTTTCCTGAGATTAGCAAATTTACCATTAAAAAAACAGAGGGACAACGACAACTTTTCCATGGAAATACTTAAATGCATTAAGCTGCAGTCCCTGAACATGTGGAATTAGTTTTTTGCGGATGGCACATCCAGATCTTCAAATAGATTTTTTGCAGATTTTTGCAGGCATAACACCAAACATCTCACGATCATCTTGGACAAGCGTTGAAAGATAACAGTTCTTTTATATTATTTTATGGGATACCAAAATCATAGTTATATATACAGTGTATATATATATATATAATTATATATATAATTATATATATAATTATTACGTATAGACATAATTATACATAAAAGTCTCCAGAAAAATGCCGAAATTTAGCCGACACATCAAATCACAACACAATCCAACACAATCCAACCAATTAACCACTCACCAAGGTTCACAAACAAAACCCACCAGAATATACCAGAGCTTTTGTCGCTCTTCAGTGGCCAAACCTAGGTGCCCTTGTGGAAAAGTAGCCTAAACATGCCTATAGTGTTCCAAAAATAGATAGAAAAGTTACAACCCCGAAAACGGTAGTAGAATTTCTACTAATTTACCAGATTTCTATCTTCTGTATCGACTGTATTTTTCCACAAATCACATAAATTATAATCCGATGGAGTGCATTCTGCCTGGAAATAGCAGTGCGATATAGAAGATAGAAAAGTTGCACCCCCAAAAATCACTGTATTTTTCCACAAATCATATGAATTATAAACTTTGGAGTGCGTTCTGCCTGGAAATAGCAATACGATATAAAAGATAGAAAAGTTGCAACCCCAAAACTCAGATATAAATCTTCAATATTTTACTTTTCCCCTGTAAATTTACATACGATACAAAAGATAGAAAAGTCAGCTGAGACAAGAAGCGGTCCTTTTTTCCCCAATTCCCATAGCCTTGAGCTGTTGTTCTTAGTTCTTTGGGTTCTTTGTTGAAGCCTTCGGCTTTTGACCAACAAGCTAGTTAGCCATCTGAAACATGCGGTGCCAGCAGGACTGGTACTTCGGAAATGTATAAACGAATTCGCATCATGTTGATGTGGGGCCTCCTTGAGACCTACATGGAACTTTGCACATCTTGTGCAGATAAACTCAAACCTGGGACAACGCGCTCTGGCAGAAGCTCTACCACCACAACTATAGAAATTATATGTACATGCAGATGTGTTTATTTCTAATAAGCATACATTAACAAATATATATATATAGATGGGTTTTTAATGTTTAATTCCTGTTGCAAATTGTAAGGTAAATGTCACATGTTTCAATGCATTTTCACCATTGCAGTCCCAGGATATTGTATCAGGAAAACCATGAGGGAGCCGCTCTTCCCCGAAACAATGGGAAATAAAACCTTTTTGATTGGTTTTGTAGCTAGTGGTGAAAAACGGTACTGATTGCCAAGCAGTACTACAAAGGTGTAGATATGTATATATATATATTCTTATAGAGGAATGAAGCTCCGCTCGCAAAACAACGCTTTCAGTCGATGTCATCATACAATGGTTCCTCTTCATCCGATTCATCCATCACTTCCCCAGGGTCGCCCTCCATGCACCCCTCCAAGTCTTCGAACTCCCCTGGCCCAGCAGTGCCAACAGCACCATCCAAGTGCGGATCTTCCTCATCACAGCCTTCAGACTCAAACCTGAAAAGCCGCATGGAAACTGGTCGAAAACAATGATACGTAATCTTGTTTCAAGTGTAAAAAACAGGGTGATACAGAAGATAGAAAAGTTGCTAATCAGTCTTGAGGGGCTATACTGGGACTGAATATGTATATATATATATATGCTGTAAGGCAGTTCTTGAGGGGCTATACTGTAAATAAGAGCCAGGTACAGAAGATAGAATAAAAACTTGTGTGTTTTGGTGGCCCTTTTTATTTCCCGCATACCAAAATTTGCAGCTAAGATTTATCGAGTCACTCTCTCACAATGAGTTTGTGTTTCGGCCCTTTCCCGAAACGAATCGTCAGCTCCTCTGCCTTGAGAGCCATAGAAACCGTCAAGATGACGAACCGCCCGCCCACTGTCTTGGAATTCACCCTGGATGGCGGCAGCACCCGCTGCTGCTCCAAGTCCACTACCATCGTACGGTTGGGATCAGCACAGAAGGATTCCTCAGATAAGGCTCTGATGTGGGTTATAATATGCACATCTGCATGGACATGGATGCTCAAATCTACTATTTTTGTATATTTAAGGATCTTTTCCTTTTTGCATCCTGCACCTATTTGTGAACATTCTCCTCAAAAGGCAAAAGTTTCATTTTTTTTTTCTTTTCTATCTTCTGTATCTCCCACCTATCTGTGTAAACAGGACCAAAATGGCAAACTACATTCAAATACAAGCTTCATACCGCTTCTTTGACGACGGGGCCAACAGTTTTCCATCCAAAGCTCGGGCCGCAATCCGCTTGTCCCAAGCCTCCCTTGTTGCCAACCATTGTGATATCAAAACCTCCAGGGCTGTGTTGATCCAAAGCGGCAGCTGAATGGCTTCCCCAGAATCTGGAACAGCGAACCAAGAGTGGAACTTTTCACCCTTGAGCACCCCTGCACAATCTTGCCACTTGTGTTTGTAGACCTGTCTCAAGTTCTCAAACCCTTGTTTGTCCTGTGAAAATGATACATGTGATATATATATATATATATTTGTATGTATATATATATATATGTGCATATACATGTATACCACTCCCCAAACACTGAACGATTCCCAACTAAATGATTATGGTCATTTTTGGTAGATGCATTGCTACCCCAATTTTAAGCTACAAATTCCTTGTGGATAATCAGCTCTGATTCCTTGTGGGCAATATATACATTGGAAATTACCGATGGATATAGAAGATAGAAAAGTTCTTCACACCTTTGAACCGGCACGCAAATCAGGTGTCTATATATATATAATGATATATAAGGGATCAAATGAACCAAAAAAAGAGTTTTTCCAACCCCCCACCGAGTGGTCCACTTCCGGTGCTTCCGTCATTTGTAAAAGCTCCTTGAAGCCTCCCCTGGCCACTGCCATGTGTTGTTCAAGAGCCCCTTTGTCACCACCATGCCGCCAATTGGCTAGCTCCTCCTCTGTGATGTGCCCAGTTGAGACCCAAGCCCATTGAATAATTGATCCACCCCTGTATTCCCGCAGCTTGGAGATCGCAAAGGCATCCGCTTGAAGAGAAACTTTGATGGGACACTGAATGATTGGAATGTTGTGTGGCCCAAGTTCTTTTTCTGCAAGGCTTGATGCAAGTGGGTTTGCTGGAACGCCGCATGCAGCTCTGAGATATGTTGCCCGAAGTAGGTGGAAAAACTGATGGAATCTGGCAGGGGCAAAAGTGCTTTGATGTTTTGGTTTTTCTATCTCAGACTTTGTCCCACCATGCAAAAACAGCATGTTTTCATTCCCCTGTATTTGTGGTATTTTGTGGTCAATTTTTAGCAACACTATTTCCAGACAGAATGCACTCCAAAGATCATAATTTATATGATGTGTGGAAAAATACAGTGATTTTTTGGGAAGAAACTTTTCTATCTTCTATATCGTGCTGCTATTTCCAGGCAGAATGCACTCCATCGGATTATAAATGATGTGTGAAAAATACCGTGATTTTTTGGGGGTGCAACTTTTCTATCTTCTATATCGCACCGCTATTTCCAGGCTGAATGCACTCCGTTGGATTATAATTTATATGAATTGTGGAAAAAGCACAATCGGTACAGAAGACAGAAATCTGGTAAATAGTAGAAATTCTACTGCCGTTTTCAGGGTTGTAGCTGTTCTATCTTTTTTGGGAACACTATATATATATGTGTGTTTGAGAATATCCCCTACATAGTATTTTTTGATATATAAATATGTATATGTATATATATATAGATAGATGGATGGATAGATGGATGGATGGATGGATAGATAGATAGATGGATGGATGGATGGATGGATGGATAGATAGATAAATCACCATTTTTTGTTGATTAAATCCCATTAAATCCTCCATTATTTTGAATGGTTCCAACTTGTTGGATGTTTTACGGTAGAATCCCACCTGTCGTTTGGTTGCATTGTGGCTCCAAAGCCACCCGGAACAATACATGGCCCATCCTTCTCACCTCCCAAGAGAATGACATTGTTCTCACGGGCCCATTTTGTCCTCATCTCCTGAAACACCTGGGACTGGTGACTGGGAGCCCTGTCGCAAATAGCCAGGACGGGAGCATCTTCAGCATTTGTGTACCCAAGTGATTTTCTCTTCCGACGGATCTCTCTTGAAACCCAGTCGAAAAATTTCACACAAGTTTCACCATTCCACATGTGAGTCTTTTTGGAACTATATTCCACATGAACTGTACCTTCTAGAGCCTCATTGATTTCTTGGACCTCTTTGTCGCTCATCTGCCCCTCCCCAAGGGTGACAAATAGTGGCCCCAATTCACCATCACTCCAGCTAATAGTAGTTGATGTTCTTGGATTTCGCCATCCAGAACAGGTGACAGCTCCACCATAGCCACATAATTCAGCAAGGTTTTTCTCCCAAGAAGTCGCTTTCCTAAGCAGCAAAGCTGTGGGATATATATATATATATCCATATGCATATTTATATATATATATTGGTTTCTTTCTCCACTTTTGGGAAAACAGGTTTTCTATCTTCTGTATCCTGCCCCAAAAAAGAGAAGTTACATCAAAACGGAGCTTCGAGGTCTTTTGAGGGCTCTTGGTCCGCTTTTTGGGGAAAACAACTTTTCTATCTTCTGTATCTCTTCCATAATATTAGGAGGAGATTCAATATTATATATATACATATTTCATATCATATGCCTATACAGAGGGATTTATCATATAGTGGATGTTTGTACAAAGGTAATAGAGTTCTATGTATAGTGTTTAGTTTGAAATTAAAACCAATCCCCGACTTCTTTGCCCAGGGGCCCTTGAAACTCACTCGCTTCCCCAAAATGCTGAGCCAAAGCGTTTGAAATCTTCTTTCGCCGCGCAAAGCCCTTGCCCGAAAAGCAGGGCAAAGTTCCGGGGTCTCCATTCTTCCAGAGTACTTTACGCTTCGGCTCAAACAAGCCTCAGCAGTGGAAACAGCTTTCCCCGGGTTGTGATATATATATATAACACTATGTATATATATATATACATGAAAGAGTCCCAGAAAACGGTGTAGTAAAACCACAGTGTTCAATCTGTGGCTTTTCTATCTTTTGTCTCACCTTGGTATTTGTGGTAAGGTGGAACTTCCAAACCCAATATGTATTACAATTGAACGGCATATGTACTATATATACTATGGCCCATAGTATATATACACTGCATAGTGCTGTTTTTCGACTTTCCATGTCTATAGCTGTCCTCAACACAACAGAAATGAATTACCACCCTTTATAATATATTGGATGGGTTTCCCATTTCTAAAGTCTTAGTTCGGGACCGGGGGATATGATATAAATTGCCAAATGTTTCCAAGAAGCATGTCCAGACTTGATCCCAGTTGAACATCAGTCGGGGGTCTATGACTTTGTCATTCTTGAGGTTCTGGATATAGGATGCAAGTTGTTTCATACTTGGGTGCTCCCTGCTCAAATGTTTGGATGGGCGTTCTTGTCGATATTGGGAATACCCCCATTTTCTGCAGAATTGCGAAACAATATAGTCCATCTTTTTGTTGCACCAGTCATCCTTGGAAATCAGCGGGATCTGAGACGCAGGGGCGTTGGCAATCGCCTCCAACTCTTGTGTGGAAAGCCGGCCCTCCTCTTTCAACTCAGCCACCCGTTCCAAGTGCCTTTTCTCCGAGTCTTGATTGAACTCCGTTGCCTCCTCGTTGTAAATGTCCAGAAGCCCAGTCAGAATCCCATGCACACTCTTTGAGTCCATTTCAAGACCCCTTTTGCACTCCTCCAACAAGATGGCATCGGCAATCTGTAGCAGTTCATCCGGTATGACCTGCTGCCTTGGGCCTTTGAACTTGACATCTGTGCAGCCAAGCCGGGACTTCAGCCAACTAGGTACCTCATCGCACTTGTCTGCCTGGTTCGGCATCATCTCAGCAAAAAGGTCCCACTTGAAACGTTTTCGGGCACCACCCCACTTGCTATCGCTACAGCAACCACTAAAATACCCCGGGCGCTTTCTCAGGAGCATTTCCTGCCAAGAAACAGCACCAGGATACAGAAGATAGAAAAGTGTCATTGGAGAACCCAACAACCTTTGTCAACCATACTTTGGGGTCATTCCAAACTAAAAACAGCAAACAAACAGAATTTTGAAGCCAACCACCAAAACACATCATCTTGAAAGCATGGGAAGTGTGGGATGAATTGTCACTAGCTATAAAAGTGATGATCATTTAGTATCATGTGTATAAAAGGTTCAAGGAATAGGCAGGATGATGGATGCCGACGATGTTGTTGGTGACGGTTTTGATTGGTGCGGGGGGGTGGCGTGGCAGGCGCATGATATTGTGGCAGGCACATGATCGGTATCAGCATCTGTTTGATACTGGTGGAACTTCAAAATACTTTTCTATCTTCTGTATCCCCAAGGGTACGGTGGGTTCCAAAGGTGAACTGGTCCCTGACAAAACCCTGGAAATAGCTTGGTATCAACATCTGTTTGATACTGGCGGACTTCAAAGTACTTTTCTATCTTCTGTATCCCCAAGGGTATGGTGGGTTCCAAAGGTGAACTGGTCCCTGACAAAACCTTGGAAATAGCTTGGTATCAGCATTTGCTTGATACTGGTGGAACTTCAAAGTACTTTTCTATCTTCTGTATCCCCAAGGGTACGGTGGGTTCCAAAGGTGAACTGGTCCCTGACAAAACCCTGGAAATAGCTTTGTATCAACATTTGTTTGATGCTGGCGGACTTCACAGAACTTTTCTATCCTGTATCCCCTAGGCCAGGGTGGATCCCCATTCTTCATTGATTGTTCAATGGTTTTTCCTTTACACATATATATATATATGTGTGTCAGCATGTTTTTGGAATTTCCATGGAACGGCACTTCCTTCTACTGCATAGAAAATGCCACGAGTACAGATTTTTTTGTACATAACCATGGATACACAAGATATTTTTAAAAAACTTACCCACCAGTTACCCACCAGTGAACATTTTACCTGTGTTAAGTTATGGGTAGCTGTTTTTCTATCTTCCGGAGTTTGGTCCGGAAGATCTCCTTGTTTGGGTTCCGCACGCCGCTGTTCCTGCACTCCTCAAACTCTTTAAGCAAGGCCAGCTTCTTTGCAATGGACAGGCAATCGCCCTTCATCCAATCCTTTCTGGCAGACTTGACACTAGGGCCATCATCATGATTCCTTGCCAAGAGCAGGAAAAGTGGTTTCAGTCTGATATGATATATACTATCTATATACAGTATATATATATATACATACGCAGGCTGTATCATTCAGGTGACCACATGTAAACACAATGATATAAATGGTATTGACATAGGGTGGCTTTTTTATCGCCGTAGAACTCCCCTATATATTTATAAATATGTATATATATATATAGCTAAACAAGTATTTGATTGATGGAGATCACTAGGCTCAGCATCAAGTCAAAAACCAACCGCTGCCAGCCATATTTGCATATGGCGATGCCCTTGAAGGCTGGGTTCCAAGAGCAGAATGCATTCCACCGTATTATAATTTGTTTATTTTGTGGAAAAACACAGTCGATACAGAAGATAGAAATCTGGTAAATTAGTAGAACTATATACATATACACCCGAATGAATTTGGTTATTCCATAGTTATCCCATTCCACATTACGATATGTGGTATGAATCTTGGTGCTTATTGTACCGCCAAATCTCCCATAATATACTGAAATATCCCATTTAATACCTCCCCACACCATTCTTATGGATCCCACATTGCCAAGCATTGACGGTCAAATCCCATAATTATCCTGTTGGATTCCCGATCAACCCCGGATACATTCCCACAAAACATTTTATGGCAATTTTGAATCTTGGGCCATTTAAAAGGATTTATGTGCATGATGGTCAAACTAAAAACTTGGAAATAGGTTGGTATTAACATGTGTTTGATGCAACTTGGATTTCATTAAACTTTTCTATCTTCTGTATCCCCGAGGGAATTGTGGATTTTAAAGGTTTCCGTGCATGGTTGCCATAAACAAACACTTTGAAATAGATGGATAGCAACATCTCTTGATTTAAACAAGAATTTGACATTCTTTTCTTCTACAGTGTTCCCCACATGTGTTTTAGTTTTTCACAGAAGATAAACAAGTCGTCAGCCAACGAGCGTCTCATCATCCGAAGGTCGCTTCCTGTTGTTCTTCTTCGCCTTCGAGCACAGAGGTTCCCCATCACCATCTTCTGGAGGTGGCTGTCGCTGTCTTGGTCTTTTCCTGTTCAACCTCGATCCCCGTTTTGGTGATGCAAAGTCCTCACGGGAAGCTGCCTGATGCCAGGCATCCTGATGGGCAATCATGGTCGCGATCAGATTTGCCTGGAGCACAGTTGTCGGGAAGGCGTTGCTAGCCAAATCCCTTTTCAAACCTTCTGGCAAGTCTGCTAATGCATCGGGACAAGAATAGTCATCGGGAAATGACCCCTGAAGGCGAAGTAGCTCACATCCGATCAATGGTCTTCCCACAACATTACAGTAGATGTCATGGGATGGGCGAACACAAGTGCTGGCCCCAACCATGTACTCCAAACGGGACTCCGATGATCCCATGTGCATACACAGCCGAGAAGGGTCCTGTTTGGCTTTCTTCACTCTTTTCTCGATCAGCCCCCAATTTCGTATGTCTTGAGGGGCATGAAGAGGTTGAGGTTCAACACCCTTCTCCAGAGTGTCTTTCAAAGTGAACTGTTGGCTTTTCGGGCCCATGCCAAACTTCCCAAAAATGGCTTTCCATTTCTGATGATCTGAAATCACATCTTCGGGGTCTCTGTTGTTGATGGCAGAAGAGCACCCAAAAACACGGTTGCGTCTTTGTGGGAGTAAGTAGTTCTGAGCATCAACTTTGGAGTATGTGAAGCTATGGCCCATGGCTGACAGATCGCGAATAAGGGTCTCCACCAATGGAGGTCGTGCCACCCCATTGTCATCAGTGATTCCTCAGGTCGGAGGACGGCTGCTGGCAACTGAATGAGGGCAACCCAGAGAGGTGGTGCAGAAACCTCAATTTGGGTGGCCTATAATGTAAATATACACATATGAGATGGCCATCACATAACATGATTTCCCATATTTTCACTAATATGGAAATGATGCGTGTATATATAATATATATAATATATATATATATATACATATACTATATATATACATAATATATATAGGGAAATTGCACAATAATATTTTTCTATCTTCTGTATCACATGGGAATTCTGAGGGGGTTGCTTGTCCCCTTTTCCTTATGCGCCAATGGTTTCCCAACAAAGGACCCTTAATATAGATAGATAGATAGATAGATAGATAGATAGATATATATATATTTCAACAGACCATACACAAAGAAAAGGGTCACCCAGATTGAGAAAAATTATGCTTCAATCATTTCTTCCGCTGAAGGGTCTGTCACGGCCTGGGGTACAAGGCATGTTTCAATCGAAGTCAATGCCCCTATTTAGTATTTAGAGCATCAAAATCAAGGGCATGACGAATCCCAAGCATTGGATCTTGGTGTACAAATAATATGGGATGCAAACCAATGCCATTGCAGAAACCAAACGGGATCTTCATTTTTACCCCCGAATTCATTGAAACTACCTTTTCTATCTTCTGTATCACCCCAAAAAAAAAAGGAGAAATTCATGAATCCACGCCTTTTTCAGGGCTGTAGGCCGCCCCAATTTGGTTCCCCAACCGCGGACCGTCCCATGGATTTGACCATTCCCTGTTCATTTGTATATTGTATTTCAAGGTCATTTGGTTCATTCCCCGTTAAACAGACCATTCGGGGGCAATGAGATTAAATCATGTCTTGAATCCTCGTTTGTATCCCGTTGTCCATCCTGTTTCCCAGCAGCGAACCCATGACAGCCGGCTATGAACTGAGTGTGGAGGTGGTCCCTTTGCTAAATATATATATATATATTATATTTAATATTAGGTATTATATGATAGATCGGAAGCCGTATTTATTTGTGTACATATATATATATACACGTATATATATATATACATATCACCAACTGTTTGTTGGTTAAATCCTGTTAAATCCCAATAAATCACATTTCTGGTTGATTATATAAATCCCACTAAATCACCATATTCTGTTGGTTAATTCTTAACACATCACCACTACTATATGAACACAGAAACATTGTGCACAGGTCTGTATATATATATATGGAACCATGGAACTTACGTTTTTGTTGTTTGTCCATACCTGCTTTTCTATCTTCTGTATCCCCTGCAAACTTTCAGGGTTTCATAGCAGCGAGGCCCAAAAAGATTCATGGGATTTCCAGGCTTAAAGTGCATCATCTTTTTTAAAAAAATGTTATATATATATATTATGTATACCTACATATCGCAGCATATCTTCACAGAAACAAACCACCATTTCTTGTGGGTTAAACCCCATTGAATACCAGTAATTCAAAATCTTTTGTTGGTTAAATCCCATGACATACAACCCGATAAATTACCAACTGTTTCATGGTTAAATCCTGTTAACGTATTGGTTGTTTGTCCATGCCTACTTTTCTATCTTCTGTATCCCCTGTAAATTGTCAGGGTTTCATAGCAGCGAGGCCCAAGAAGATTCATTGGAATTCCAGGCTTAAAGAGTATCATCTTTATATATAAAGTGCTTATATATATATAGTGACTATACATACACCTACATGGTTGAGAACATACCCTCATGATATTTGTTTGGCCAGCTATATCCCAGTATATCTTCACAGAAATAAGCCACCATTTCTTGTGGGTTAAACCCCATTAAATACCAGTAATTCAAAATCTTTTGTTGGTTAAATCCCATGACATACAACCCAACAAATCACCAACTGTTTCATGGTTAAATCCTGTTAACCCTGTTTTTCTATCTTCTGTATCCCCTGTAAAATGTCAGGGTTTCATAGCAGCGAGGCCCAAAAAGATTCATGGGATTGAGGATCATACCTTTGCCCCGGGCCAGAGACCCACGCACAGTTCTTCGTTTTGACTTCGAGACTTCAAGGTTCAATCTCTATGTGTATACTGCATCTTGATGCGGCTTTGTACTCCTATGTATATGCCAAGTGAGACATATAAAGAGTCACTTGTTTTTGTTGATTTTCTTCAAGCAATTTCCACAAATGGAGTATGCAGTCACCTCTGATGTAGGCACGCAGCTTCTGAAGAGATGAACCTGTTAGGGACAATCCCAGCCGGGCCACTGTTGGGGATCAGTAATATGTATATATATATGTATATGTAAAGAAGAAAAATGATAAGGTCCAGAAAGACTTTCAATATATATATATACATATAAGCTCGGTGTTCATACAACCTCATACTTTTCTTCTGAGATCAAACACGCCTTTGAAATCCCCGAATCCGTTGTTTCATTCCAAACAAGCCTTGTTGCCCTTTGATGATTGGTACACGAACTGCAGATTTTGCACCTGACTCTGGTTCATGTCCATCTGTTTGACTTCGGGGCCCATGCTGACTGTTGGTTTAGATTTCGGGCTGCAGGGACGCTGGATGAGATTGCCCACAAAACTCAAAACCCTGCACGTATCTCGCACCAGGCAAACCACCACGTAGAGAATCATTGCGTAAAAAGCAACTTCAGTCATGGTCTACCCTATATGCGCAACTTGAGCCTCGGAAATGCCTATCAGATAGATATAGCTGAAACTTTTCCATCTTCTGTATCCCACTGATGACTTGGGAGTTTATGTATAATATAATATAATATAATATAATATAATATTATATATATATATATTTATACACACATTTATTTACTGTTGTGTTGGCCCCGCGTAGTCCATCAATTTGTTTGACAAAATTAGATTCCTTGGTGATCTTCCAACAATGAAATACAGAACATAATATATATATATAGGTAATGTAAATCCCAGAGCAACCCTGCTTTGGTTCCAAGTATATATATATATATCTATATACTCTATGAGCCAAGCTGCGTTGGGACACTTTGTTCACGTTCTCGTACAAGGAGAGGAGTGGCTTTGCTACAGAAAACATGTCCCTATAGCCACATTGGTAGGTCACCCCAGAAGCTCCCAACCCAGAAGCGAAGCACGTAGCAAATTCTGAGTTTGAGGACCTCTCACCACTGATAGAAGTACAGGCTGTTCCTGATATGATCATGTCAACCCGTGGGATGGCACAGTCACAACCATGAATATAACAGTGTGCTGTTCCTTTTGCCACATCTCTGACATCAGCAAATAGGTGGTCAATCTTGCCAGCGCGAGCCCTTTGAATGAAGTTCCTCTTCTCCTTGACATCGGGGTTAATACAAAATATATAATCAGATTTCTTGGGGACACAAAAAAGGGACAGGAAACTTTTTGATTCTTTAGATCAATGCGAAACCCAGCAGTTAAGGGTTCAGGGCACAGTTGCCGCAATCTGAGAAGCAATTGAAATGATCTAACGTAAAACTTGTCCATAGAAAAGGGTTGGACAATCCCATTATGATTGTTGTTTTTCAACCACAACACCTCGTGAAGTTCCACGGCGAAAGCCACTTTGGATTGCAGGCTGATGCCAAACCGCTCATTCAACGCTTCAAAGGTTTTTTCAACCACCAAACCTCCTGTTTCCAAACCGCTGCATGTAGTACCAACCGTGAAAGGTTTGGCTGCAGAGTTCCAGACATTGCAAATCTCCTTCAAAGTTGTGTGCTCTTCAGGGCTAAGAAGATCCATAAAGTAGTGGGCCGTCTGTTTCAGGGCAAAATCAGGCTTTGCTCCCTTCAGCCACTGCAATTCAATGGGCAACCTGGGCAATTCCCAGACAAAGATATATATATATAGAACATATTCGTGGGCCTGTATGCATTTATGATTTGAAGATACCGTGGAACCCACGCATTGATTATTTGTTCATACCTGCTTTTCTATCTTCTGTATCCCCTGCAATATTTCAGGGTTTCATTGCAGCGAGACCCAAGAATATTCATGGGATTTCCGGGCTTACAGAGTATCTATATGTATATGTATATATGTACCTCCTTATGAAATATAATATACCTTTTAGTATTTCTTTGGCCAGTTACAAAAAAAAATATTTCCATCCCAGTATATCCTCACAAATAGAAATAAACAACAATTTCTTGTGGGATTCCTAACTGATCATCATTTGTTGGTCAGTTGTATCCCAGAGTGTAGATGTAAATTCAAAAAACAAATAGATCACCATGTCTTGTTGGTTAAATCCCATGAAATCCCATTAAATCCTAGTAATGCAAACTCTTTTGTTGGTTAAATCCCATGACATACAGCCTAATAAATCACCAATTTGTTTGTTGGTTAAATCCTGTTAACGTATTGGTCCTTTGTCCATACTTGCTTTTCTATCTTCTGTATCCCCTGCAAAATGTCAGGGTTTCATTGCAGCGAGACCCAAGAATATTCATGAGATTTCCGGGCTTAAACGGTATCATATTTATATATATATAGATATGTACCTCTTTATGAAATATAATATACCTTTTAGTATTTCTTTGGCCAGTTACAAAAAAAAATATATCCATCCGGGAATATCCTCACAAATGGAAATAAACAACAATTTCTTGTGGGATTCCTAACTGATCATCATTTGTTGGTCAGTTGTATCCCAGAGTGTAGATTTAAATCCAAAAAACCAATAGATCACCATGTCTTGTTGGTTACATCCCATGAAATCCCATTAAATCCTAGTAATGCAAACTCTTTTGTTGGTTAAATCCCATGACATACAGCCTAATAAATCACCAATTTGTTTGTTGGTTAAATCCTGTTAACGTATTGGTTCTTTGTCCATACTTGCTTTTCTATCTTCTGTATCCCCTGCAAAATTTCAGGGTTTCATTGCAGCGAGACCCAAGAATATTCATGGGATTTCCGGGCTTAAAGGGTATCATCTATATATATATATATAGATATGTACCTCCTTATGAAACATAATATACCTGCATGGTTGAGAACATACCATCACATTTTTTGTTTGGCTAGCTTATTTGTATATATATATATATATGCATCCCAATATATCTCCTCACAAATAGAAATCAACCACATTTTCTTGTTAATTAGATCCCATTTAATCCCAATAAATTATCAATTTTTGGTCGGATAAATCCGATGGTTAAATCCCATTAAATCCCAATCGATCATCATTTCTTGGTCGGTTTAATCCCTTGTAAATATCAATCCCACTAAATCCCAATAGATCACCATCTCGTGTTGGTTAAATGCAACTTTTTAAATCCCAATAAATCACCATTGTTTGTTGGTTACATCCTGTTAACGTATTGGTTGTTTGTCCATACTTGCTTTTCTATCTTCTGTATCCCCTGCAAAATATCAGGGTCAAATCCCAACCGATCATTTTTTGTTGGTCAAATCCCAATAAATCACCAAACATGTTTATGTCATTGAGCCAATACAGATATTTGAGAAGGATGCGGCCTAAAGAATCCCATTCGTTGGAACACGTAGTGAACCCACCTTTCTTTGTGTCGAAATACACACACACATTTATATAAGATGATCCCTGGTCCTATCTTTTAGCCACCAGAAAAGCATCCAAGATACTTGGCAACGACCTGCAACTGATCAGCGCCAACGGACCGCACTTTCGGAGTCAAACATCTGTCCTTGCGTGGATGGGTGATTCCATTCGCATGCATATATCTATAAATATATGTTTATATTCATATGTATATATATATATGTAAGTATATGTATATATGTATATATATATATATATACGTGGGTGTGCATGTAATGACCATATATATACTTAGATGTGTATATATATATGTATACATATGTATGTATATATATATCTGTATATGTATGTATATATATAAATATGTATATATGTATACATATATATATATATTTATAAATATATATTCGTGGCTGTACATCTAATGACTATACATATACACACACATATATATATACATATATATATATACATATATATACATATGTATATATATATACATATGTATATATATATAGATAAAAGGCTAAAGGAATAGGCAGGATGATGGATGCCGACGATGTTGTTGGTGACTGTTTTGATTGGTGCGGGGGGGGGGTGTTGCGTGGCAGGCGCATGATATGGTGGCAGGCGCGTGAGAAAAGTTGGTACTAACATCTGTCTGATACTGGTGGGACTTCAAAAAACTTTTCTATCTTCTGTATCCCCATGGGCACGGTGGATTCCAAAGGTGAATTGTGAATTGTGGTCCCTGACAAAACACTGGAAATAGGTTGGTATTAACATTTGTTTTGATACTGGTGGGACTTCAAAGTACTTTTCTATCTTCTGTATCCCCATGGGCACGGTGGATTCTAAAGGTGAATTGTGAATTGTGGTCCCTGACAAAACCCTGGAAATAGGTTGGTATTAACATTTGTTTTGATACTGGTGGGACTTCAAAGTACTTTTCTATCTTCTGTATCCCCATGGGCACGGTGGATTCTAAAGGTGAATTGTGAATTGTGGTCCCAAACAAAACCCCGGAGAGATGTTGGTATATATTTATATATATATATATACATTTATATATATAATTGTTTTTTAGCAACTGGGCCTTTTTTTTCTATCCCTTGCATCCCCAAGTGTACTGTGTGGGTTTGAATGGCTAGTTTCAATGGACAGGGAAAAATATATAAAGTGAGATCGAGACTCTGAAGCGCACCATGCTACGCATTGTGTGGACTTCTGAGGGCGGACTAATTTGATCACATACACCGTCTTTCCCTCTCGTAGCCGCTTCATCCAAGAACTGCCAGCTTGCACATCATCAGGGTTGCACTTGTTCAAACCATCCCACATTTTGAATGCCTTCAAAGACTGGAACTCTTGTATGGACTCAAACTCTACTGTTCCAGGAATGGCAAACCCCATTGTCTTTACAGCAATGTTGATTTGTCCCGTCTGGACCCGTTGGGACCGTAGGAGATATTCCTGTTCCCCTGACAAAATGCGTTCCGTTTCCTCTGATGACAAAGTGATGATCAAAAGCGATTGGGGAAGGTCTGTTGGAGGCTCCAAGCTGTCTGGGTCTGTAGTCTGGGAAGTCTTGGGTTCAGGATCACACGCGGATGGTGTAGGGGTGGATCTAGTTGGTGTCACGTTGAACTTGTCTTCCCAAAACTTCCGGTTGACCTGCATGAACCTTTGACAGCCACGTGTTGGCTGAAAAGGTATAGGCTCATCAAACAGCTTGGCATCGGTCATGATCCAAGCGTGCAGATCTTGCTTCAAGAAGGGCAGCTCGAACCTGAGTTTCCCAACTTGAAGTTGACATATATATATATATATGAAAAAAAACAGTCGATACAGAAGATAGAAATCTGGAAAATTAGTAGAATTTCTTCTGCCGTTTTCAGGGTCGGTCAAAGCAGGTTTGCGGGAAACTTTTCTATCTTCTGTATCCCACTGGTTTTGTCAATATATTTGAGAGTTGGGGGTTGGTTTTGCAGGGTTCTTCTGGGTTGGCCCCCCGTCTGGATTAAAAGTCCCAGGTGCATATACTCTGGCACACGGTGTTGATCAAATGTTTGTTTTTTCGTGGACTTGTCAAAGGGCAGGCAATCCGAAATGGTTGCAACTCCCATGATGCAGTTGCTCCCCTTCTGCCATAGGCCCACAAGCCCTCCTGGGATGTCACGCGGGTTACCACACATGTCCTTAAATAACTAATTTGAACATCTCTGTTCATATTTATATACATAGTAAAGAACAACAGGTTTGCAAAAGCATTCCAGCAGGAGAAATCAACAAAAAAAACAGCCTAAACAATTGCATAAGGGTCGTTGTTGGGTTCTGTAGGTCCTCAACTCCCAGGTTTTCTCACCAGCGGCTAGCAACTTGCACCATGGGGAATTTACACATAGCAAGGTCTCTATCTTGGCCAGGAATTCCAAGTCAGGCATGTGCTTGGGTGGGACAGGCTCCTTGTCCATGGATGCCTCACATTGTCCTTCAACTTCTGGCATGTCGTTGGTATCCTCCTCGTCACACTGGTCTGCAATCTTCGGGTGGGCCTCGCTGGTGTCAGTGGGGATCTTTGGTTGGCCCTCAGGGAGCTCACTGGAGTTTGAAGTCTTCGGGTGAACCTCTTTGGTGTCAGTCGGGATCTTTGGTTGGCCCTCAGGGAGCTCACTGGAGTTTGAAGTCTTCGGGTGGACCTCTTTGGTGTCAGTCGGGATCTTTGGTTGGCCCTCAGGGAGCTCACTGGAGTTTGAAGTCTTCGGGTGGACCTCTTTGGTGTCAGTCGGAATCTTTGGTTGGCCCTCTGTAAAGGAATCAGTCGGTGGAACTTTCCAGCTTGCCGGCAGCTCAAACTTGTCCCCGGAAGTTCCATTGCCCGAAACAGGCGCAAACCAATTGCAGATACCTTTCTGCACCAGCTGAGCTTTGACTTTTGCTGGGTCCGGCTGTTTGTGTAGTGGCTCGTCATCCTGTGGCGTGTCAGTTGGTAGCCCCTTGTCCTGTGGACCGGCATCCTTGGATCTGTCAACCGGGCTGAAAACTGGTTGTGCTTCTGGAACTGGTTGTGCTTCTGGAACTGGTTGTGCATCTACTGTGGAAGAAAAGGCCTTAATCTCTGAAACGCTGCAAATCGGAAACTCGGTGTCCTTGTCCCCCAGTATTTGTTCAACTTGTTCAGCAAACATGGCCAACTCCATGCAGTGTGGTACTTTTGTTGCCTGAGGAAGTTCAAGGCTGCCTGCCAGGGGTGGACCGGTGCTAAGGGTGAAGTGTTTTGTTTTCTGTCTTCTGACTTTTCTATCTTCTGTATCTCCAGGTGAGGATAGGTGCTTCTGATCTGCAAACGGAGCCAAAAACAAGGGAACCGGGAAAATAAATAGAACATGATATAAGGGCAAGGGGAGAAAATGATGAAATAGTTTGAGGACATCATGCAAGACATGGAGAAAATGATGAAATAGTTCCAAGAGAGAATGAGAAACTATGGGCAAATATGAAACAGTTTCAACAAAAGTTTGGGTCAATATCGGTTTGCAGTCTGTACTCTCAGATCTTGGGAAGTTAATAATGAGAACAACTTCCGTGCCCTCCAATCAACCAGTATTGGCCCCGATTTTTTTACAGGTCATCATGGGTTCCAGCACGTTGCTGTTTCTTGCTACAGCTGGTTTTCTATCTTCTGTATCCCCTGGGAAATAACACAAATAGATGGATGGATGGATGGATAGATAGATTGATAGATAGCTAGATAGATAGATTGATAGGAAGGTAGGTAGGATAGGATTGGATGGATGGATGGATAGATAGACAGATAGATGGATAGATGGATAGATGGATAGATGGATAGATAGATAGATAGATAGATAGATAGAAAGATAGATAGAAAGATGGATAGATAGATAGATAGATAGATAGATTATACATTATACATTATACATTATACATTATACATTATATATACATATATACATATAAGCCGGGTTTTGCGAATCCGGCCTCGAGAATTCGACTCGTCTGCGTGCAAGACGTCGTAGTGCCCGCAATTTTTGTCCAGAAACTTGAAGAGGAAGTGACCTCGCACCAGCTAGTGGTTTGGGTTTGCAAATGGTTGCTGTATTTAAAGCTTGATGCAGGGAAGGGCTGGAACCGATCTCCAGGTGAAAAAGAAGTATTGAACACAGGAAAAGATGCAAATTAAGAACTATATATATATATAGTGCACTATATATATATAGAGAGAGAGAGAAGATCCCGGAAAAATATTGGTGATGATAAATTATATGAATATACAAATCCCATTCAGAATAGTTGGAATTTCCAAATCCCAGTCTATGATTTGAGAAAATAAGTCTCGCACCGACAATTGGGCCATCTTCCCATCCATAAAGAGCATCCCCAGCATACTGCTCACCAAAGTGTTTTTGGACAGATTTGGCACACGTGATGCGAAACCGGCATCCGAAGTGAAGCCCAATAAGGTGGGCGGCCTCGAAGGTCACTTGCTTGCTTTCCTGGAGTGCGGTGCCATGTGGCATGTATACATGCGCATATAAAACATAGTAGGTGAGCTGAATGTAGTATGACATTATGTATATATACATGTATGGATGTAATTTTACAGTTTATATCATATATATATATATACATATTAGTTGTTATTTTAATGCATGTATCTTGGGGCTGGGGCTATCAGCGCGTTTGATTTCAGAAACAAAAACCTTCAAAAACAAAGTTGTTGAACTTTTCTATCTTCTATATCCATATGGCAGGGTTGTCAAAAAAGGAAAATATGTTTGTCCTTCCTTGTTCCCGCAGACCCATGTCCTGAATCTCTTGGAACAAATCCGTTGCTGCCGTGCTTATTGAAGAAGATATCAATCTTTGCAGGACTTCGTTGCAAAGGGCCTCACCCATCTTTTCCTCAATCTCAAGTCGCTCCTTTGCAAGGGCATACCCACTCTCATTGCGGTTGATAGCCCACCATTCATCCGGAAGTCCACATGAAAGCCAGGAATACCAAAAGCACCTCCCATCAGGTGGGATAGAACGAGTTTTGAACCTCAAGGGTTTTGAAAGCTCCTTCCCAATCATGCCAGCAAGAGCTTCCCGTACCTTGGACTGGAAGGGCCAAACATGGCCAAACGCTTTTCTATCTTCTGTATCGGGCTGCTATTTTGGGTGATTGATACTCCGATGCCTCTATCTATTTTTATTTCTATATGGAAAATTACAGAAAAAATGGACAGGATTACGAAAAACAAAAACCTGCCATATCTTTGTTTGCAGACGGGTTGCTGCTGACCTTGCCATGGCTGCTTTTTGCTCCACCTTCCGAATGCCCAACACCTGAACGCTCTCCCCATTCAGCCGTCGAGAAATGAAGTCCAATGTGACCTTCTCCACATTCTTGGTGCTAGGGTTGAACTCAAAGGCTGCAGAAGAGGTTTTGAATTTGCCCTTGACAAAATGCACAATGAGAGGCGTTTTGCACTCCGAATGAGATGCAACCTCAACCAGTTTTCCCCGTGTAGGTTCTGCAGGTTCCATGGTGCTACCAGATGAAATCAGGCCGAGGATTTGCAAACCGGATGTCTTTTTGAACTCATCAAAGGCCTCCGCCTTGAACTCATCCCCAAACACAATGCATGTAGTAGGGCGCCATCCAAGAGTTGAATGCCATGATCCCAAAATCATTCCTTCAACTTCAGTGACCTCAGTGTTCACGGTGTGGTCTTGCAGCTGGTCAAGGGATGTCTTGAAAAAGCGTACTTTGGCCACTTTGGTAGACTTTGAGGCATCATCACCAGATTTCTTGAAGAACGAGTTGAATAGGTCCTTACCTTCTTCTGCTTTTCTCTTGTAGGCTTCTCGGGTCTCGCTTTTCAATGTGATGTTCTCCTCCATGATCTTGTTGATAGCGGCAGCTGTGGCTTTCCTTGTTGCTTCCGCTTGACGTAGGGCGGCCAAATTTCCCTTCAGCCGGCCCTTCTGCATGAGAGATTCCAAACTGTCAAACCAAAACTCGGCATCTTGTCTCGACTCAAAGATCTTGGATATTGACCCTAGCCCATCTCCAACCTTGTAGGTCGCCATGAACTTGTTGGTGACTTTGTCCACGACTATCCCATGGCTCAAAGTTGCTGTTCCTGATGGTGTAGAGTCCACTCCAGTGCTCGTTTGGTAAGCTTTTCGCAATCTCTCTTCCATCTTTGTGCTGGTCCCCTTGTAAAAGGCCTCAAGGGTGTGTTTGTTCTGCACTCAAAAAAGGTGACGGGTTGTGTCCCAGAACTTTTCTATCTTCTGTATTCAGCAGTAAATTACAGGTTTATGTTGCTTTGGACCACAAGAATTCGCACGCACAATTTTCAATATTGATGCATGTTTCTTGGAGGATACAAAAGATAGAAAAGTTCTTTTGGTAGAACCTATCCCCTTGATTTTTGTTTTTGGGTTGGAAAAAAACTGAAATTGGTCAATCCTGGCCTCTTCAATGTGATCAAGGAGAAGCACTTTGTTTAAACGGACCCCACTGGGCAGTTCGATACCGTAGTCTTCGCAAAATTGCTTGAGGTCCTTTAGGCTGACGATGGCCATCGACTTGGCAACCATACTTTCACAAGCAGCTTGAAACTCTTTGGCAACACATACTGCGTGCTGTTCTCCTGCCCAAGGCTTGTGCTCAAACCTTCGCGTGATGCTCTTGGAAACCATGGACTTGCAAACTGCAGCTGTCTTCTGCTCATACAACCTGCAAAATACCCACGCTGTCTTTGAGTCCTCCTTCTTGCTGGAGCTGGATGTTGATCCTACGTGCTTGCTACTGCTGGGTGTTGAAGCTGTCTCCTTGCTGGCTTTCGCTTTGGCTCTTGGCTTCGGTTCTGGTGCCTTCTGCATTTTGGCAATCTGAGCATGAGCCTTTCGAGAATTGGCCTTAGACTCCTCAGCGATGGCTGCTGAGATAATCTTTTGGTTGTACTCTCCTCTAGATTTTGGCTCCCGAAGTATAGCCCAGGCATTGTTGACGGCTTTCATTGCGTTGGTTGCCTTGCTGTCCTGACTTCCGAAAAACGGTTGTGTGCACTAAAATTTACTCGTGTGCCTTTTTAATTACTTTTACACTATGTATATATATATATGTGCACATGCGTTCACACAAGTAATATACACCTTCTGAATTCAAAGCAGAGAAAGATCATTGGGTGAGGTTGCAAACCCCTCAGAAGGAAACAACAGCTTGTTGGAAAAACAATTTCGATATTTCTACTTATATATATAGTGTTATATACATGTACACATGCATATGTATGTGTATATATATATACATATGTTTGTAATATATATATATATACACATACAGAGGTGCCAAGATTCGTTGCACTTGTCGGGATGAATCAGCCTCACCAAGTTCTTGTGCATGGCTTTCAGTTGCTCCGAAGAACCATTTGTAGCAACCAAAAGACGCCGCACTGACTGGGATGGCTCCGTAGGCAGCTTGGAAGGGCAAGCGGCTTCAAGCCTGCAGTAACTTACAGTCCTGGTCAAACTTGTTGGTTATAAACCCGAAATCTGGAAGGTTTCCTGCAAAAGAACGGCAATTTGTGGGTTGACCGGCTGAATGTGTATGTATTTCATTATAAGAACAAAAGTATTAACAGCAAAAATGCATATCACGCATTGATGATATGATACTTGTGTGGAAATAGCATGCCGATACAGAAGATAGAAAAGTTCCACAGGTTCAATGACAAATTAGAATATACTTATATATATGTGTATTCTATTATATATATGTATGTATGTATATATATATATATCTTTATGCTTATTTAAATATCAAGAACAACAGTATTAACATCAAAAACGCATACCACGCATTGATGATATGATACTTGTGTGGAAATAGCATGCCGATACAGAAGATAGAAAAGTTCCACAGGTTCAATGACAAATTAGAATATACTTATATATATGTGTATTCTATTGTATATATATGTATGTATGTATATATATATATCTTTATGCTTATTTAAATATCAAGAACAACAGTATTAACATCAAAAATGCATACCACGCATTGATGATATGATAATTGTGTGGAAATAACATGCCTATTTTGACCAAAAATAGTTTGAAAAAAAAACTTTCAAATTTCATTCCAATACCTTGAGAATGACCCACTGAGTGTTTTAAAACCAATTGTAGACAGATCTGATGGTTAGAAATCTCATTTTTCAACATATTTGGTCAAAAAAAAATGAAAAAAATCTTTCAAATTTCATTCCAATACCTTGAGAATGAACCACTGAATGTTTTAAAACTGATTGTGGACATAAATTACTGATAGAAATCTCATTTTTCAACATATTTGGTCAAAAAAAAATAGTAAAAGTTTTTTTTCCAATATATTTTTTCTCAAACAACGATAGGTCCCCAAACACTCTTTGTGGGGACCTATCGTCTTCATCGTTTTTAAAAAGTATTAAAATTATAAAAGTGACATTTCTCATTTTGCATCATTTTCCCGTTGTGGTTCTCCCGTTGTGTCTCCCTCCTTGAGGCCGCGCTCGAGCTGGCTCCGGGCAGATGGCCTGAACATGGGGTGGTGCATGGGGTGGTGCATGGGGTGCATGGAGACACAACGGGAGAACCACAACGGGAAAATGATGCAAAATGAGAAATGTCACTTTTATAATTTTAATACTTTTTAAAAACGATGAAGACGATAGGTCCCCACAAAGAGTGTTTGGGGACCTATCGTTGTTTGAGAAAAAATATATTGGAAAAAAAACTTTTACTATTTTTTTTTTTGACCAAATATGTTGAAAAATGAGATTTCTATCAGTAATTTATGTCCACAATCAGTTTTAAAACATTCAGTGGTTCATTCTCAAGGTATTGGAATGAAATTTGAAAGATTTTTTTTTCAAACTATTTTTGGTCAAAATAGGCATGTTATTTCCACACAATTATCATATCATCAATGCGTGGTATGCGTTTTTGATGTTAATACTGTTGTTCTTGATATTTAAATAAGCATAAAGATATATATATATATATATACATACATATATATATATATATAATAGAATACACATATATATAAGTATATTCTAATTTGTCATTGAACCTGTGGAACTTTTCTACCTTCTGTATCGGCATGCTATTTCCACACAAGTATCATATCATCAATGCGTGGTATGCGTTTTTGATGTTAATACTGTTGTTCTTGATATTTAAATAAGCATAAAGATATATATATATATATACATACATACATATATATATAATAGAATACACATATATATGAGTATATTCTAATTTGTCATTGAACCTGTGGAACTTTTCTAGCTTCTGTATCCCCCACTGCAGTAGTGACCGATGGCTAAATGTATGAGTGATTTGAGGGGTGAGATTTTGCACTGATTCCTGGGGTTTTGGTTGGTCTTCATCTATGTGTGTTTTTCATGGCCCCCACGAATTGCCGAGGAACAAAGCATAATGGTCAGATCCCAATTCCACATGCTTCAGGACGTTTTCGATCTTGTCCGCTGAAGTCGCAGCCATGACCCAGGAAGGGTATCGATATATGTGTGTGTTGAGAAATGGACCGTTCATTTTTAACGGGGTCGTATATATATATATAGATGAATATACATGGATTATGAATGTAAAAGGGTTGGTTGTTTGTCCAGCCAGCTATATAAACACATAAACATGCCGGTTCATGTATATATATATATAAATGGTGCTACTCAGGAACCGTTCTAAACGGGATTTGGGTGATGACAATCGAACCTGGAAAATGTATCGCAGGCGGCGAGGAATTTGCTGCCCTTCCAAGTTCCGAAAAAAACAGTGCCGGAACATGTTGAAACCGGTGGCGAAAATGAATGCGTGTAATGGTGTGTGTGTGTAATGACTCATTGATTATAAAAGGCTAAAGGAATAGGCAGGATGATGGATGCCGACGATGTTGTTGGTGACTGTTTTGATTGGTGCGGGGGGGGTAGCGTGGCAGGCGCATGATATAGTGGCAGGCCTGTGATAAATTGGTATCAACATCTTTTTGATACTGGTGGGACTTCAAAGTACCTTTCTCTGTTCTGTATCCCCATGGGCACGGTGGCTTCCAAAGGTGAATTGTGAATTGTGGACCCTGAAAAAACCTTGGAAATAGGTTAGTATCAACATCTTTTTGGTACTGGTGGGACTTCAAAGTACTTTTCTATCTTCTGTATCCCCATGGGCACGGTGGATTCCAAAAGTGAATTGTGAATTGTGGTCCCTGACAAAACTCTGGAAATAGGTTGGTATCAACATCTTTTTGATACTGGTGGGACTTCAAAGTACTTTTCTATCTTCTGTATCCCCATGGGCACGGTGGATTCCAAAAGTGAATTGTGAATTGTGGTCCCTGACAAAACTCTGGAAATAGGTTGGTATCAACATCTTTTTGATACTGGTGGGACTTCAAAGTACTTTTCTATCTTCTGTATCCCCATGGGCACGGTGCATTCCAAAAGTGAATTGTGAATTGTGGTCCCTGACAAAACCCTGGAAATTGTGGTCCCTGACAAAACCCAACAGGTGGAGTTCTAAGTTATTGCGTTGCCAGGCAAAAACGTTAGTAATAGGTGGTCCCAGGCAGTTCTTCAATTCAACTGAAAACACATGTACTTTTCTATCTTCTCTATCCCCATGGCCACAGTGGATTGTTGATGTTACTTGTCTTTCAAGGTGCTAGTTAAAATCTTAGTAATAGGTGGGCCCAATTGTTTTTCTGATGCAAATCGAATCTTGAAGTACTTTTCTGTTTTCTGCATCCCCAAGGCCACTTGGTTGTGCACCAAGGTCTTTGCATATCAATGTGGAAATCAGTGTATTTAGATTTATATATTTATAGACGTTAAAAGCATGGCATTCCACTTGTTGGTCACCAAGGTGTTGCTTGATAGATCCATTTATGAAGTTTTTTTAGGGAGAAAGGTTGGATGGTGGAGCGACCAAGTAAATAGATAGATAGATAGATCGATAGATAGATAGACAAATAGATTGATAGAATGTATATGCAACTATATATATATAGTCCGAATGGGTGTCATTTGAACTTGTTTATTATGTTGCCATGATTCCTTAATAGGTGCTCCCCGAGAGGTTTGTGTAAATAAATGCATATATACAATAAATTGGCCTCCCAGTGGTGGTTTTAGAAGTTAATTGTTTTTTGCGGTGCCAGGCAAAAAAACCTAGTAAATAGGTTGGCCCAGGCAGTTTTTAAGTTCAACTGGATTCTAATATACTTTTCTATCTTCTGTATCCCCATGGTAATAGCTGGGCCCCAGTCATGTGTTTGATGCAAATGGAACTTGTGGCCCACCTATTACTAAGATTTTACCTAGCACCTCAATGCACAAGTCACCTCAACAATCCACTGTGGCCATGGGGATACAGAAGATAGAAAAGTTGTGCATTTAAAGGTGCCCAAAAAAAGAATCGGCCCAACCAATTTTTTGATGCAAGTGACGTGCAATCTGGCTGTTCCCTAAGGCCGCACTGGAATACCAATATGGATACCAAATTGTGGGGTTTTTAATTCAACTGGAAATTGATGTACTTTTCTATATTCTGTATCCCCATGGTAATAGCTGGGGCCCCAGTGATTTGTTTGATGCGAATGGAACTTGTGGCCCACCTATTACTAAGATTTTACCTAGCACCTCAATGCACAAGTCAGCTCAACAATCCACTGTGGCCATGGGGATACAGAAGATAGAAAAGTTGTGCATTTAAAGGTGCCCAAAAAAAGAATCGGCCCAACCGATTTTTTGATGCAAGTGACGTGCAATCTGGCTGTTCCCTAAGGCCGCACTGGAATACCAATATGGATACCAAAT